GCGCCGCTTTGGGTGCCCTTTCTACGTACGACCTTGCCTAATGCTGCGTCGAAGGGGGGAGTGTACCTCGCATACAGCACACAGATATCTGCCTATCTACCTACTTACCTAAGTAGGTAGATTCTAGGGAGTTGCGGGGGGTGCCTAGATACTTGCCTACCTGGGCACGGTACCCCAGCTCCCAGTATCTGCGTATCTGTTCAGGTAAGGAAGGTGTGTCTACCGTAGAGAAGTGCCTACCTAGGTACCTAAGTATCTGCCTAGGTAGTTACCTGCTTGGACGAACGGACCCCGCCTCGCCGAATCCCCTTTAAGTGACCCCTCCTCCAACGCATCCATCCAGCCCTCCCGCAGCCGCCATCTTTCCCTTCAGATAAGCAGAGGCCATCTCTCTCGTTTCGGCCTCATCCCTCATCGCCCATCACCGCCATCCTCGTCCATCCACTGCCTTGCTCCGACCCTCCGGTCCGCCGTCTCTCCCGCCGCTCCCGCCTCCCGAGGTCAGCCTCCCGACGACGAGGCCCGAGCGGCTTGACCGACCTCGAACCGGAGCACGAGCTCAACTCCATCTGCCTGTGCCCTCTCTCGGACCTGCGTGCCTGGGTCCTGCACGCCATCTCCCCCTGTTTCTAGAACAATTCACTCTTGTCATCCGGTTCACCTGATTCGGTCAAGGTAGCACGCTTCCTCGGCCCTCTTCGGCCGGTCCGCAACTAATTTCGCACTCGTCCAGGCTACCATCCGTTTTGCTTTCTACTTACCTGCCTGCTTGCCCGCACAAGCCAGAACCTCTTCCGCCTCGACCGCGAGCTTCCGACCGCCATCGCCGCCGCTCTGCATCTCGTGCCCGTACCTCGGTGCCTATTTTTCACTCTTCCGTCTTTCCCTGTGCGTGAGTGAGGCCTAACTCACCATCGCCAACTGCGAGCCTCCACCGCATCGGCCCAAACACCCTTTCCATCTCACATCTCTCCCTGCCGGCGACAAGCATTCACTGCCGCGTCGCGCCCCGGCCATGTCTCGCTCAAACGCTCAAGGCGGCGCAGCAGCCTCCCGCAAGATCTCGTTCAACGTGAGCGAGCAGTACGACATCCAGGATGTCGTCGGAGAGGGCGCCTACGGAGTGGTCTGGTGAGTCTCTGATCCAATCATGGCCCGCGCGACTGGACGCTCATCAAGCCTGCATGTGCAGCTCGGCCGTCCACAAGCCCTCGGGCCAAAAGGTGGCGATCAAGAAGATCACCCCCTTTGATCACTCAATGTTCTGCCTCAGGACACTACGAGAAATGAAGCTACTGCGCTACTTTAACCACGAAAACATCATCTCCATCCTTGACATCCAAAAGCCCCGAGGTTATGAAAGCTTCAACGAAGTCTACCTCATCCAGGTGCGTTGTCGCCCCGTGTTCTTAAGTGCGAGCCGTGCTGTGGCCACTCCTGCTTACTCGCGCCCCACGTCTGTA